ATCCGGCTCTAGTTTTTCTGATACAATTTTATCGCCTGAAAAGTATTATGAGAATTTTTAAATTTAGTTTTCTTTAAAGAAAATTGAGCAGTTTTTATTTTGTTCCGTTTTTCAACAATTTGCCTTTGGAACTTTAAATATCTCTGAATATTTCATTGCTTTGGAGACCCCAATTGTTTGGAAGAACTTGATCGTCATATATCTATATTATTTAAAATTTCGTTCCTGTTCCTTATCTAAAATTTGTTCTTTATTGAATATCCATTAAAAAATAGTTGCACATTTGTCTGAAACGAAAACGGTTAAATCGATGATGTTTGGTCGATTTCGAAGTTCTTCATTAGTCGAAAAAATACAAGTACATTTCAGACACGAAAATTAGTGCTCAATTGAAAGTCAATCAAATTTATAAGAACAACTATTTTATTGTTATCACACTTAATATTCAATAAAATACTTTCTTTTCCTTTGGCGCAAATACTTTAGAATAAACCTTATAATAAAGATTCACATGAGAATACTTTGATCTATTTTTATACATTGATGAATAGGCATGTGTGTATTTGTATATGTGCTAACTGTATGTCTTTCACAATTAATTATTTTTCTTTTGCTACTAATTGAAAATTATTTATCGTTTTTCAATTTAGTGTCAGAAAAGAATTTTAAAATCTCCGTTCTAAAAAACTTGATTTACCTCATTATTCTTCAATTTTATCGCTTCTTCGCCAAAGGCAAAATTTGCAGAACTTTTGCTGTGTGGACTAGAATTACTATATTCCACTACCGGGTGATATCCCCAATCATCAGCGAAATATTTCACGTACTGATTGGATTCAGTGCCATTTTCCACGTAGTATCTGCAGGAAGAGATTTTTGGTTGTTTCAATAAACGGAATTTATATTTAAATACCTACCTTCCTTGCGCATATATTCCATCTCGTTCCTCATCTTTACCTTGCGTCACTTTCTCCTCTTGTATTCTGTAACCATATTCATATTTTGGTGGATTCTGAAAATTTCATTGAAATAGGGTGACAGAATTGATTATCACAATAATGAACTTTTTTTCTATTTTGTTAAACAACAAAAATATTTTATAGCTGAGAATTGATAACACTTTGTGTGCAGTTTTAAGATCAAAATATTAACTAGTCTTTGCCTTGATTGGTTGTGTTAAAGGAACATTTTCACAATCAAACCAAATCTTAATTAATTTTTAATTTTTAAATTATTTTTTATATTTAAAAGACAAACAATACTTAAATATTTTCAAATAAATATTGAAAACCTCAAAACCAATAAGCATCTACTTACAGGGTCGTAGTCTTTGGGCGGCGCTACGAATCCGGGAGGTTTTGTTGCATGGATATTTATAAAGATAAGTATAAATATGAGCGCAATCTGAAAAGTAAATCGGAAGACAAAAGTTATATGTAGTTCAAGAAGGGCATGCCTCTCAGAAATATTTATTGCTGCCAACCGTTAAATGAAGTAAAGACCGATGGATATCTGAATGAAATCATTTTGAGTCTTCTGCTGAGTAACACCATGGTTATAATGTTCTATGCGCTTGTCTACCAGAAAATTTCAGCTAGAATAATTTTGATCTATTAAAGTCATGATAAGTTGCTAAAGTTTATATGTTTCTGTTATTTTTATATTTTTTCTGAAATATATTGATGTTGAATTGAATTGAATTTGATAGCACCGTAGCACAAAATTCTACTTTAATTTAATTGATATGTCAGCAACTTTTCTATCCAGCTTTTCTAATTAGAAATGCTGAAATAAAAATCCTTCTTCATCATTTTTCGATTTATATTGTTTATTTGAAAATAAAATTATTATAAGCAGAAGTAGATCAACACTGTTCCAGCTCTAAAGCACGTAGAAATAACGAGACAAAACCAAAAAAACCGGAATAGTGTCAATTTATTCTTTGCGGTTTTATGAAACGTATAGCCGAATTTTTTGTGGGAAAGAGTATTTATAACGATGTGGTCGATTGTTAATTGAACCGAACTCAATATGCCCTGATTAGGATGTCCTCAATAGCCGACATTTAAATTTTGTATTGGAAATCTGCTATATATTAGTGTATTGAATAGAAAATTCAACTTTTGGACCATAAAATGTCCAACTTGTTCACTACTGCACGGAATTTCAATGAAGCATTGTGAAATTTCGTTGTTTTTACAACAATGGAGTAATTAATTCATTGCCTTCTTCTTGTATTGCCAGCCAAACAATTGCGATTATTCATTGTCCAAAGAAAGCATGCGAATTGTTAATGGCAGTGAAAGAAGTGCAGATCTAATATCTGATGCATTATTTACAGATTAATCAAAGCGAAGCCTAGAGAAGACATTAAAATCGCTAATATTATTTAAATTGGCTAAAGCCGTAATGCGTAATTTATATTTCATGAATGTTTCAACAAATGGTACATTATTTTTGAGAGAAATTGCAATTAAAGTATGCATTGTAAATTACTCTTTGTTAATTTATATGTGATGCATCAATAGGAAACTGACAAAAAGGGAACAAGACTTGTAGTCATAAAAGGACTAGATAATAAATGACTTAAACAGCAACGCCGGAATGAAAGTACCTTCACTAAAGTTCCTGAAGATACATTTTGAAGATACATGGCTAGTTCACCTGCATGCAAGCAATTACTTTCTAAGTAACAATGAATTGTCGCAATTTTATATGAAGGGTTCACTATTAATATTCCAAAAACTAATTACGCATAGATCCTTCTCGAACAAGGTTAAAGCAATCAATCAATTTTTAAACCTAAATAATCTTCATTGCAAATATAGTAAGAGGAAATTTAATTGCCCCATTCGCTTCAATGAAGTGGCGCCTGCAGGTAGGTAAATGTCTTCAGGTGTTTAATTGTCTTCCACTGCACTTTACGAGATGAAATTTATTATTTTTAAAACACTTTAGTGCCTGCTTCCTGGTATGTAGTATTACGTTAAACGATAAATTTCTGCTCTTTGGAATTGATTGCATTTTCAGCTTATTACTGCGATTCAACAAGTTTTTGTTTTGGATGCAAATGTATGGTTGATATTTAATTATAAGGTAGTTGCATCCAATAATATATTTATTATTTTGGAACATTGGATTATTATTTGCTCTGTGCTATCGCGACCCTTTCTCGTTGTTCCAGGATGTTGAAGAAAATTTTATTTTAAATGTATTTAAATAATTTCTTGCTAAAATATGTATTTACTGAAATATTACTGTATATACACTATTATAAACTATGGAAGAATTCCAAAGAAAATTACTTCCATGTAACAAAAATCGGCGGATTCTTAAAGAAAAAGGTTACTGAAAAATATATCTTGCTTTCAAAAATCCAACAGTTCCTAATGAAATCGCAATGAATGAAATTGAAACCAAAATAAAAAAGTGACAGGTTTGTGTTGTAGAATTTACCTTAATGGACGTACTTTCTTTGACTTTCTAAGTGTTTTTTCAATCGGAACAAATACTTACATAATAATGCGGATGCACGCTATTATTGTAGCATAATAATGAGGAGAATGTTTACATTTTTAACATAAAAATACTTTGTGTATATTTTCCTGACTGTATTTCAACTTAATTCAAAAGAAATTCCTGGGTTCCGGTCAATTTTATTGTTTACCATTTCAAATGTCACAAAAACGTTTCGGTGTTTTTCTCCACAATCATCAGTTTGTCTGAAATATACGTTCACATTCGTTATTCGTTTAAAAGAAGAGCTCTGTTAAATATACATACTAAAATACAAATTACAAACATATTAAAAAGTATATTAAAATCGAAATTATAATCGAAAAATAAATTCTAATCTTTTCCCGAACATGATTGTCCTGACTCATCACCTGTAATCCCAAAAGATTCAAACGATTTTAATATACTTTTTAATATGTTTGTAATTTG